TAACAAACCTGTTACAAATGTGTTGTTCAACAAATTTGAGCCTTTGCCACATTTATTATATCACCATGGAAACCTTTGATCTCTGGACACGTCGTTAGCTCAAATATAAACACCTGTGTCATGGAACACGATGATGTCATCACTCCAACTGACATGCTCCGAGCAGCAGACTTCAGATAATGGTTAACGGTCCAGCCCTCAACAGCTCTACGTCAATTATGGGGTTTCATCATATGCCGTTTCCATGGAAACGCATCCCTCGCCATAAAAGACGATGTCGCTATAACTCCTATGAAAATGTTCAAAAAGTGCTCAAACTTCACATGTGTGCTAACAGTCCAGCCGTGAAGACATCTACGGGACAGTTTTGAGATTTCTTCAAATGCCATTGCCATGGCAACACAATGCTCGCCATGAAACACGGTTTTCTCATAACTTCAGTGAAAATGCTCCAAATGGCCCAAGACTTCACAGGTTTGGTAACGATGCAGCCATCAACATATCTAAGCGTATTATGGGATGTCATCAAATGCCGTTGGCATGGCGACAGATCATTCACCATCAAGTTAGTTCAAAAGTTTGCAGTTCAAATATTCTGCTGCTTTTCCAAGCCCTTTTACTTTCTTTTCTTCTCTCATCACACATTCAAGCCCCCAGTGTTCATGTATCATTTCAATCTAAATTCTTCACTTTCTTCTTACATTACATTTCAGCATATCAATTTAGCATCAGCTTTTCAGCATAAAGCATTCCCACTAGCAATTTCTTCAGGAATTGCATTCTCTAGTTGTAAACTATTGTGCCACTAAAAAGTTTCATTTATTCAACTCAGGAGTGAGCCAGTTTCAATTTCCTATTGAGGCCCATCAGCTGCAGAGAGTTAACTAATTAAAGTGGAGTGGCCCCACAGCTGTGAGAACTCAGCAATCAGGTGTCCATTTTAGGTAGCACTTTCCTGGAGCGTCAGACAGACGAAGACTGACAAAGACGATAGAGTCCTGTTGGAGTCCAATTCTGACAAAGACAATAGAGTCCTATTGGAGTCACGAGCGAGGCAAAGAGGAGGTAAATCCTACTTTAAATGAGCTAAGTATCGCTGGTGTTTATATCCACTCTTGCTAAAAACATGTGTATATTCTCCATTCCTGTTCATGTGTCTTCTCGCAATTATCACTGGCCCTGTGCATCTCCTAATCGTTATAACCGGGCTGCTCTCGTCTATCCCACATGCTCCACTGAGATCCAACATCTAGTTGCAGGTGGCCGGTGGAACTGCCAGTCAGCTGTTCCTAAGGCTGACTTCATCTCTGGCTACGCTTCCCTGCAGTCTCTGGATTTCCTTGCTCTCACTGAGACCTGGATTACACCATCCAACACATCCACCCCAGCAGCTCTCTCCACAGCATATTCCTTCACCCATACATCCAGACCCACTGGCAGAGGAGGTGGCACTGGTCTCCTGCTCTCTCCCAAATGGAGCTTTTCCCTCTTCAAGCTACCTAACTTCACTCCTTCCACCTTTGAATTCCATGCCGTCACAGTAACCCATCCTATACAATTAACCATTGTTGCCGTCCACCAGGCGCCTTGGGGGACTTCTTGGAGGAATTAGATCATCTCCTCTCACACATCCCTGAAACTGGCCCTCCCGCTGTACTTCTCGGAGACTTCAACCTCCAGACAGGAAATATATCTGAACTAACATCTCTTTTAACCGCCTTTGCTTTCTCACTGTCTCCGTCCCCACCAACTCATAAAGCTGGCAATGTCCTTGATCTCATATTCTCAAGGAACTGCACTACTTCTAACCTCTCTGTAAACCCACTTCACACATCCAATCACTTCTTCATTTCATTCTCTCTACCCCTTTCCAAACATAACAAACTAATCTCTTCTAATTCTGCTCCTGTCCGCCGTAACCTTCGTTCCCTCTCCCCCTCTACCTTTGCCTCATTGGTGCTCTCAGCCCTCCCTTCCTCTGACTCGTTCCAACTCCTGCCTCCAAACTCTGCTGCAGAAACTCTCCTCTCCACTCTTTCATCCTCTCTGGACTCTCTCTGTCCTCTCACATCTCGGCAGGCTCGTCAGTCCCCTCCTGCTCCCTGGCTAAATGACGCACTGCGTGCTAATAGAACCATCCTTCAGGCAGCAGAGCGGAAATGGTGGAAATCCAAACACCATGACGACCTCCTAACCTATTAGGCTCTCCTCTCCTCTTTCTCTGCTTCCATCTCTCAGGCAAAAAGCACTTTCTTTCAAGATAAGATCCATTCTTCCTATTCCAATCCCAAAAAACTATTTTCTATCTTCTCCACCCTCCTGGACCCCCCCAAAGCCCCTTCCCCCTCCTCCCTTCTTCCAAGCGACTTCGTTAACTACATTGAAAAAAAGGATGATGACATTCGTTGCTTGTCTAGCTGACATCTCTCAGTGGATGTCTGCTCACCACCTCAAGCTCAACCTTGACAAGACTGAACTGCTTTTCCTTCCGGGAAAAGATTGTCCCACTCTTGACCTAACAATCAACATCGGCCCCTCTATTGTTTCCCCGACTCAGACTGCAAGGAATCTGGGTGTGACCCTAGATAACAACCTGTCCTTCACTGCAAACATTGCTGCTACAACCCGCTGCTGCAGATACACTCTTTACAACATCAGGAGGATACGTCCCCTCCTGACCCAGAAAGCCACGCAGGTTCTGGCCCAGGCTCTCGTCATCTCACGCCTAGACTACTGCAACTCCCTCCTGGCTGGTCTACCTGCATGTGCCATCCGACCTCTGCAGCTCATCCAGAATGCAGCGGCTCGTCTGGTCTTCAACCTTCCTAAATGTTCCCACACCACACCACTCCTCCGCTCCCTTCACTGGCTTCCAGTAACTGCCAGAATCCACTTCAAGACACTGGTACTTGCGTACCATGCTGTGAATGGATCTGGCCCTTCCTACATCCAGGACATGGTTAAACTGTACACCCCAGCACGTGCACTCCGCTCTGCCTCGGCCAAACGTCTCGCTGCACCAGCACTGCGAGGGGGACCCAAGTTCCCATCAGCAAAAACACGTGGGTTTGCTATCCTGGCTCCAAAATGGTGGAATGAGCTCCCCATTGAAATCAGGACAGCAGAAAGCTTACACATCTTCTGGAGCAGACTGAAAACTCATCTCTTTCGACTCCACTTCGAGCAATAAAATTACTAACTAAGCACTTATATACTAACAAAGGACTGGCTTATCTAAAGCCAGTTGAGTAGCACTTGAAATGTTTTGGCTCTATGAAACCTGATGTACTTATATGATTCTGTTTTCTTCAAGTTTGTATCTTGTTGGTCGAATGCACTTATTGTAAGTCGCTTTGGATAAAAGCGTCAGCTAAATGTGATGTAATGAACATCCATGTCGACTCCATGCACCTTTGCCTCTGAATTTCTGTCACTACTCGACTGCTTCACCCCCACGCAGCACGTCCAAGGTCCCACCCTGACCTAGTGTGCTCTATTGGCACTCCTCCCTCCCTTCTCCAGTGCCTGGACCTAGCTGTTGTGGACCACCATGACATCCTCTTTTCCGTCCCTGTCCTCCTGCCCATGCAGCGTGCAACACCATCACATTCAGGAACACCAAAACACTGAGTGCACCAGCCCTGAACAGCATGATAGCATCCCAGCCTCCATTCCCCTCCCCACCACAGGGGATGGCCTGGTTGCTACAACCCAGCTCTATCCCTCAGCCTTGACTCTCTAGCCCCCCTCAAAACCCGGTCTGCCCCTTGGTTCACCACTGAACTCTGCACCCTGAAGGCTTCTGGTCGTCGGCTAGAGAGACCGTGAGGCCTATCAGGACCATGTGAAGTCCTACAAACAAGCTCTCTCCCGGACTAGGTCTTCATACTAATCCACCCTCATTGGCAACCAACATAACCAGCCGAGAATGCTGTTCTCTACCCCCATCCTCCAGGTGTTACCCTCACCCTCATCACCCTCATCACCCTCATCACCCTCATCACCCTCATTACCCTCATCACCCTCATCACCCTCATCACCCTCATTACCCTCATCACCCTCATCACCCTCATCACCCTCATTACCCTCATCACCCTCATCACCCTCATCACCCTATCTACACCCCTTCAGACCTCCTCCCCCTTCAGACCTCCTCATTTTAAATATATAATAAGATAATAATATCAATGGATTAAAAAAATTAAAATATTCAAATGTATGATAAAATAATAAAAACGGACCAAAAGTATAAATAATAAACTGAGAATATAAAACAGTTATTATAAATGTTAATAAATGTTTATAAATGTTATAAAAACTCTGACCTTGAGCTTCTGCACGGTGGTGGTCTCCTTCTCTCTGCACCACACCGTCACCCCCCCCACAGAGTACCTACTGCTCCAGCCCTCAGGACTCAGGACCTGATCCCTGAAGGACGAGAAGGCCGAGTCGTCCGGGATCTCAACCGGCATCCTCACTCTGTCACTACTGCTAGAACTACTGCTAGAACTACAACTAGAACTACTGCTAGTCACTACTAGAACTACTGCTAGAACTACTGCTAGTCACTAGAACTAGAACTAGAACTAGGAACTACAAATAATATCTAGAACTGTAAGTATGACTAAGACAGTCTGCAGTCAGTGTGATCAGCTGTCTCTGAGGATGAAGAGTGAAGAGTGTCTGCAGTCAGAGGGATGTGTGTGTGTGTGTGTGTGTGTGTGTGTGTGTGTGTGTGTGTGTGTTGTGTGTGTGTGTGTGTGTGTTTGTGTGTGTGTGTGTGTGTGTGTGTGTGTGTGTGTGTGTGTGTGTGTGTGTGTGTGTGTGTGTGTGTGTGTGTGTGTGTGTGTGTGTGTGTGTGTGTGTGTGTGTGTGTGTGTGTGTGTGTGTGTGTGTGTGTGTGTGTGTGTGTGTGTGTGTGTGTGTGTGTGTGTGTGTGTGTGTGTGTGTGTGTGTGTGTGTGTGTGTGTGTGTGTGTGTGTGTGTTGCAGAGCGCTCACTCTCTGAGGACCGGAGGATGCACAGCTGGACAGGAAGTGGGAAACTTGAGTGAGTTTGTTTCAGATGTTTAAAAAGGAGCTGAAGAGTCGTAAAGTCCACGCTGCTGCCAGCTAGCACTCAGCTAGCAGAGTGAGTCTCCTCTTATTACAGCATCTCTGTCTGTCTGCGTGCTGCCTTCAGGTGCTCCTGTAAACCTGAGCGCCCCAGGCTGCTGTGAACCTGAGGGAGTGATAGGAGGAAAGGTGACGTCACACATGTTATTATTTAGTCTTTTATTTAGAAAATCTGCATTTCCTCCAGACTCTGTGATGATAGAGGTGTTAACCCTGAGCAGTGAGAGTGTGTTTACTAACGGGCCATGAACGCAGCAGTAACAGGAGCTCACCTGTTGTTCAGGTGGGGGGGAGGATCCTCTGTGATGTCATCAGATCAGGTGACAGGGTGAGGAAGCTTCCAGAAACTCACTCTGATTACATCAGTAGCTCTTTATAATATATTGGCCGTATCTCATTTCTGAGATTCCCCTCCTCGACTCCTATCCTCGACTCCTATCCTCGACTCCCCTCCTCGACTCCTATCCTCGACTCCTATCCTCGACTCCCCTCCTCGACTCCTATCCTCGACTCCTATCCTCGAGACTTAGTCCCGCCCACAGGAGATGCGAGTGGAGGAGCCGAGGAGGAGAGCCGAGGAGAGAGGAGGGGAGCCGAGGAGAGAGGAGGGGAAGCGAGGAGAGAGGAGGGGAAGCAGCAGGCGGTTAGAGAAATGAGAACTCCTCTCCTCTGAGCGGTCATTTTAAAGAGACGTCCATTAATGATGACAGGAGGCACAGCAGCACTCTGTCTGATGGACAGATGTGTTCATGACGACTTATATATTTACTTTGAATCATTCACAGTGCGGTATAATGAGACAGTAACGTAGCGTCCACACAGCAGCGTTAAAAAAATCTTCTAACGCTTCTGCCCATTCACTTTGAATGGGGTGTATTGAAGTATTCGATGTTCTCGCGCCCAGGAGAGGAGCTTAGAATGAAGAGACTAATGGAGTCTCCGAAAAGGTTCAAATTGGTTGAGTTTAATTAAGTAACGTGGTTAAAGAACAAGCATGGGTAAGGAGAGACAAAGCTGGTGTTGTCTTCAGGGAGGCTGCAGCGAAGAAAAGAGCGCGAGTTGTCCTCTGTCTTCTGTTTTTATCCTCGTCTCGTTCTCTCCCGCTGTGCAGATAGTGGGACCGCCCTTCTCATCTGTGGGTTCGATATCGCGAGAGAACAGATGATTTCAACATTGGTATTCTCTGCCTACTTCCTTAAGCATTTTCTCCTCCTTATCTCTGTCATGACTTTCTATTTAATACCTTATAAACAGCTGTAATCGTTAGTTTAGAAGTCCTAAAAACGCCTCTATGGCACAGTTCTCATTTACGGTAGCTCCCTCTGACGTCATAGCTACTCACGTAATGTGTAAACACTCCATGATCAACTGTACCTTCATTTAATATTCAGCAGTAATAATATCTTAACGTCTATCGATGTAGTGTTAAAGTGTTAAAAAACGTAACATTAGTCACATGCTAACCGGATAAAGGATTTTCAGAATAAAAGCTTGGCATTGATTTCCTGAGAACTTCCGGGTTTTTCCACAATAAAACAGCTTTAAACTGACGATATGTTTTAGACTGAATTATGCTGTTTAACATTGATTTTAATTTCTAACAGGTGACGTCACTTTGCCTCACTTTTCGCTGAACTGCATTGTGGGAAGCAGAGCGGAGATTTTCAGGATTTTCAGGATTCAAAGTTGAGCAATGTTCAACTTTTGAAGCTGAGGTGGAAGCGTCAGCCAATCAAATCCCGTTTTTGCAAATCTGACAGTTCAAGCGCTAGCCAATCAAACCGCGTGTATGCTGGGAGAGACATACCGCAGGTCATTTCCTCATATTCCAAAACATGGAGGAGAAATTAGCGGTAGGGAATCACCCGGTGCTTTATGACCAGTCCCTATTTACCTACCGGGATACAAACCGGAGGAGCCAGGCATGGAGGGAGGTGGCAGAGACAGTGGGTGTTTCTCAATCGCGAGTACGCTTGCTTGGTAGCACATGTCTGCCGAGCATCTTGCTTCAGAAGCGAGTCAAGAATACCTCCTAGCCTCGGAAAATGAAGAATGGAACAGGCTAACAGGTGTGCAGGTGTGCGTCATATGCGTCATCTGCGAGGCCCCGCCTTAAATGGAGCGCGATTTGTTTGAAAACTCAAAACTGATTTACAAAGATGGAAACGTTTGTGTTGGTTTCGTGTTCTATGCATGCGTTTAATGAGAAGGAGGAAGAGATAGAGCGGGAGTGTCGGCGGCGTCTGTCTGCTCAGAGGAGGAGGATGTTCTGTCGGCACCTGTGCGGAGGACGAGGTGCTCGGGTAGGATAAATAATGTATTGTTTTATTCAATGTTGGGAGAATGGGCAAGCTAGTTAAATAAGTCTTGCCGCTTGCCTCCCGTACGAGTTTTATTCTCTAATGTGAATCAAGTAAATGAACTATCCCTAATTACTGCATAGTTAGTTTGTGAGTTGTCATGATGGTTTAAATCACCCTTGGTAGACACCCCTTTCTATTGCCATGCTTCCCGCACAATAATCAAACAACACTTTTGTCCCGTGTCAATTTTGCATATATAGTTTGTGCATGTTTATAGTCGTTCTAACAGTTTTCGATGCGGAGACAATGTGTAATCACATTGAAATTGTTTGTTTAATCATGTACACACACACACACACACACACACACACACACACACACACACACACACACACACACACACACACACACACACACACACAAGCACATTGCAGATTACAAACAAATGAACCATTAACAAGAAACAAATGTCAAGTAAACTGAAACTGCCCTCTATTCTTTATGTTGTGCAGGGCCATCACTACTGCATTATCAATGCCACCGTGCCAGTCCTCCAGTTTTTTTTGCCGACGAGGACACCCGCCCTGACTTTCGGCTGGGCAGGGAGGCCATCCAGCAGCTCCTAGTGGCGCTGAAGACGGAGCGGCACCACGGATGGGGGGCCACTCTGGAGACCCTGGTGTTTCTCTTTTGGATTGCCAGTGGCTCCGCATACAGAGTGGTCTCCTGTGTCTTCGGTGTGCCTCTGCCGTCCGTACACCGCATTGTCCACAGGATGGTGGATGAGGTGGTGGCCGTCTTGCCCCGGTTTGTCCATCTCCCACGTGCGGAGGACTTGGCGGTGGTTGGTGAGGTTTTGCCCTGTTGGCTCACCACAAAGCCTTTCGCAAGGCAGCTGGGGCAATTGACGGCTGCCACATCCGCATCAAATGCCCAAGTGGCCCTGATGGTCCAGACTACTGCAACAGGAAGCTGTTCCATTCAGTTGTGTTGCAGGGAGTCTGTGACCATCAGGGACGCTTTGTGGACATCTTTGTGGGTTACCCAGGATCCGCACAGATTCTGAAGAACAGCCCCATCTACGCTAGGGGGACTTACCCTCCACCAGGGTATTTCATCCTAGCTGATGGTGGCTACCCATGTCTACAGGAACCCCTGGCCCTTATCACACCATATAAGAGGCCAGTGAGAGGCATGGCAGAACAACGGTTTAATTGCCATCACTCCAGGGGTCGCTCAATCATTGAGCGGACCTTTGGGGTGATGAAAACCCGCTTCAGGTGCATCTTTTTAGAAACACTTGAAGTACATCATGAGTTTGTCCCCAAGGTAATGAATCATTCTAATATTTCTGTAGCAAATTAGTTCATTACAATCCTAATATCCTTATCCTGCTATACTAACACTGTCTTAATGCCTAACAATTGCATAGTCACATACAATATGCATCACACTTTGTTTTGTCCTTTTTTTGCTCTGCCTTGTGCACAGGTTGTAACGGCGTGTGTAATCTTACACAACATCTGTGTCGGGGTTGGGGACGACCTACCTCCAGACGACGCCGCTCTGGAGGACAACCAGCCACCTGCTGCACATGAAGGTGCATGTGGGGAAAGTGAGAGTGGAGCAGCATGGCGTGTGGCCCTTGCCAACGAGGTTTCCGCACTTGCTGGTGCTCCACAGGACCATGACTATTGTGCACAGGTGAAGAACATGGCTCAAATCCCATGTCACAATCTGCTTATACTGCAGTAACTGTATTTTGTAAAATGATCATCTCTCCAGGACAGAACCACTAAACTAACATAACACTTTCTCCTTCTGTTTGCAGCCTTGAAAAAGTCCTGGCGGATAAACAGCCAAAACATCATAAAATCACCATCACCAATTCTGCCTACAGGTGGGAGATGGACCCTCTGGCAGGAGGCTGCGCTCCATCAGGACCAGAACCTCTCTCCACCTGAACCGTTTCTTCACCTCCGCTACCGGCCTCTTAAACAAGGCCTGGGCCCCCACTGACACTTTACCTCAGCCACAACGTAGACTCTATACGCATTACATTAATGCACACAATGTTCAAATATTGCTTACTGCACATATTTCATATGTTATATTCTATAATTCACTGCATTCTATTAAGCTGTAAATGACTGCTTGACTTTATTTTATTGCTATCTATCTATATTTGTTTACAGTGTTGTTAATATAGTTCGCTATCTGTGTACTTGTGTTCTTTTGTTTTATATTTAATGTATGCGCCATGACATCAAGTCAAATTCCTTGTACTTGTGAGTATACCTGCCAATAAAGCCCTTTATGATTCAGAATAATAAAATGTGTATTCATATATCATACTTGATGTCTGCAAACCTTTTTTACACATATTGGTGGACATTGTAGCATAAAACACAAATATCAACAAGAGGCAAAGTCAAAACAAGGTTCTTTTTCATTCAGTCACATTTTTTATTTGGGGGCAAAACGCTCCAAGACAGCCAAAAACATTTCGGACCTTTCTCGGGCCTCTGCTGCTCTCTTCTCATCTGCCTCTCTCTGGTAGAGGATGTCCTCCCTTAAGAGATCAAGGTAGGGATCCTCTCTCTCCCTCTTTTTCCTTCCTCCTCTCCTCTCCGTGTCGCCCTTGTCTTTTCCCTCCTCATCCTCTCGCCCTTTCTGACCTACCTGGGCAGTGCTTGGCCCCGGATTTGCGTCTTGGATGGAGGAAATCAGGCAGGGGGGCGAGACCGCCGCAGACTGCCCTAATGCCTCATCCATTAGGACAAACCAGGCCCAAGTCGCTGCCGTGGGTTTCCCGTCCTCGGTGCCCTGCCCTGAGGCGGGACACTTGTATTCCTGAGCAGTGAAGACCAAACACATACACGCATTAATATATGAAAACATAATACATTTTAATTTCAAACCTTTATTACAGGTGAATCCCATTTGAGATCATTGATCTCTTTTTCAAGGGTGACCTGCTGCAAGTAGGTTCCACATGAATACATTTGAACATATAAAACAACAGCAAAAACAAACATGATCATGTCTATAACCTCTCACACCTTGTACTTCATTTTGAGGTTGTCACACTTTTTTTTGGCTTGGACGTGGGTTACCCTTCCCTCAATCTCCATTTTTGCCACAATTGTCCTATGTAAATTATAAGAAGGAGAAAGCAGCGATTAAATTACATCTTGAACAATATTTACTACCTAAACAATGTCACTTGCTTCTCACCGATAACCACTGGCGGCCGTGTCCCGACCGCCCGTGAACAGGTGCTGGAGCTCAACACGGAGGCGTATAAAGGCCTCCGTCTGTTCCTTAGTCCCTTGAGCAAACACCAGAAACAACAGTATAATGCCGTGTGTAATTAATGAATACCAGGCCAAACACTCTGTTGCCAGTTTATTACAGAAACTGAGCTTAACTGCAGTCCTGCAACAAACAATTGTCCCATTCTCTCTAACGGTTTCAACATAAACTGTACCGAAAATAAATACCTCACGATGTACCTATCTAATTATTAACTAGCTTTACTTTCACAGAACACATTTTTGGTGATAACACATTTATCAAAGTAACGTATTTACCAACACATTTTCTAAGCCACTGTACATACTTACATTTAAATGTGTACTGCTTCCCTTCAGCCATTTCCGCCACAGATTTTGGAAATTGGTCCGTGAGCAAAGCATTGTGGGGATTTTAAGACCGCGGAGTCTACTCATGTGCAGACTCGATATTTCTCCAAACGGAGTACGCCGGGCTCGGTAGAATTCCAAGTATACTGGAGATTGGAACAGTACTTCGGCGGCACTCGATGACGTAGTATGCTTGAAATAGTGGCTCTGGAGCAGCTTTACTCGCGATTGAGAAACACCCAGGGAGAAGGACCACACAAGAAACAAGGAGGAAAACATTTCAAAACAAAGGTGGAAAATGAAAACATAAATACAAAACCATAACAGAACTCTTAGGCCATGTGATCTCAGGCTTCCAAGTTCATATGCTTCCCCTGCATTTGGAGTGTTCTGTAGTATGTTTGTCACAATGCTGTCCAGGTCTTGATTTGACAATACTGCATAGCTTAATGGCTCAACTCCCAGAGTTTGCCTGTGTCTGTATAGGGTTCTCCGACTAATTCCAAAGCATGATGCAATTCTTGACCATGTCATACCAATTGAAACACAGTGGGACATTTGTTCAGCGGTTATCCTGTATTGGGGTCGACCTGCTTGGCCTCACAATGTCGTTGGGGGTATTAGATTGATTGTCACATCAGTGGTTCTCCGTCTGGTCTCATGTGCATGCAGCAAGTTGCGAAAACATCTATACAATGATCCTAGAAGGTTACTGACATCCGTATTATCCTCACCATACCTCGAAACAATAAGATATGCAGATAGAGTCCTTGTGTGGTCATCAAGCATTCTATATAGCCTCTCCTGATCAAAGTTGTTGGATTCTTCTGTTTGCAGTGACTCAATGCATTGCAAAGCACTAGTAAGAAAACGTAAAACATCCTCTTCATTTCCTTCCACCGCAAAAAATAAAGTTTGTACTTGAAACACAACGAGGAACAGATGAAAATTCATTTTGGTTTAAGAAGGGCTATTTGAAATGTTAGCAATGTCATGCTATTCATAGAGTGAAGTCTTCCTGTCTCCTTCATGTGACAGGAAGGCCTTCCTTTTTTAACTGAAAAGCAAATTAATTCAACACTGAACTCAGCGTTTCACATGTGTGTGTGAGAGAGCGTTTCATGTGTGTGAGAGAGCGTTTCATGTGTGTGTGTGAGAGCGTTTCATGTGTGTGTGAGAGAGCGTTTCATGTGTGTGTGTGAGAGAGCGTTTCATGTGTGTGTGTGAGAGCGTTTCATGTGTGTGTGTGAGAGCGTTTCATGTGTGTGTGAGAGAGCGTTTCATGTGTGTGTGTGAGAGCGTTTCATGTGTGTGTGTGAGAGCGTTTCATGTGTGTGTGAGAGCGTTTCATGTGTGTGTGTGAGAGCGTTTCATGTGGGTGTGAGAGCGTTTCATGTGTGTGTGTGAGAGCGTTTCACATGTGTGTGTGAGAGCGGTTCATGTGTGTGTGTGAGAGCGTTTCATGTGTGTGTGAGAGCGTTTCATGTGTGTGTGTGAGAGCGTTTCATGTGTGTGTGTGAGAGCATTTCATGTGTGTGTGTGAGAGCGTTTCATGTGTGTGTGTGAGAGCGTTTCATGTGTGTGTGTGAGAGCGTTTCATGTGTGTGTGTGAGAGCATTTCATGTGTGTGTGTGAGAGTGTTTCATGTGTGTGTGAGAGCGTTTCATGTGTGTGTGTGAGAGCGTTTCATGTGTGTGTGTGAGAGCGTTTCATGTGTGTGTGTGAGAGCATTTCATGTGTGTGTGTGAGAGTGTTTCATGTGTGTGTGAGAGCGTTTCATGTGTGTGTGTGAGAGCGTTTCATGTGTGTGTGTGAGAGCGTTTCATGTGTGTGTGAGAACGTTTCACGTGTGTGCGTGAGAGCGTTTCATGTGTGTGTGTGAGAGCGTTTCATGTGTGTGTGTGAGAGCGTTTCATGTCTGTGTGTGAGAGTGTTTCACATGTGTGTGTGTGAGAGCGTTTCACATGTGTGTGTGTGAGAGCGTTTCATGTGTGTGTGTGAGAGCGTTTCATGTGTGTGTGAGAGCGTTTCATGTGTGTGTGTGAGAGTGTTTCACATGTGTGTGTGTGAGAGCGTTTCATGTGTGTGTGTGAGAGCGTTTCATGTCTCTGTGTGTGAGAGCGTTTCATGTGTGTGTGTATGGGCTCAGAACAGTCTCATAATACACACATGCACACAGAAGGATTCACACTTGTATTTTCGGATCCACACTTGTGTTTTTCAATGCACACACAAATGTGTTCCGTTTCATATTCATGTAAATAAAATCCAAACACAGAAAAAAGTTTTACATATGTATTTTTGATCCACACATATTTGTTTACCGTTTAAATCCTCTGAACCTGCAAACACAAACCGCTTTCTGTGCATGGATCGCTGTGCTTGCGTGTGTGGGATTTTTGAGACTCCCCTGACGGTCACCCGATTCGTACTTGTAATTTCTTTCATCTATAGCCAATCAGATGTCTCCTCCAGTCTAAACCAATCACATGAGCGCGCCCCCACGAGGGTAGGATTTCTTGCGTTGATGACGTAGCACTTCATTTACGCTTTTTGCGCTGTCAGGAGCTGACAGGTCAGAGGTCATCTGTAAAATGGCGTCTGGTGGTCGCGCGCCTCCCGCTCCAAGTGTAAGTTATGTTTAAATTATGAAATACTCCTAAATGATGAAGGATTGGTTTTGCTTAGTTGTTAGTTGTTTAATTCGAGAATTATATAGAACTGTTTTGGTTAGCTTAACTGTGTTGTAGCTGAGCTCCATAAGCTAACATTAGCTAGCGTTGTCTGTCTAACGATCTAACGAACTAACGAGTTTGTTGGTCTAACGATCCCCCATTCTTATTAGGTGCTTCTGCTACCAAGTAAAATGTTGCAGTGAAGTGAATGTGAGAGAAAATTAATTGACTGTTTGACAGGGTGTAACGCCTCGGGTCGAGGTAGCAGCACAGGCTTTAGTTCAATTAATAGCCAGGGAGCTGTCTGCGACTCCAACTCCACCAGAAGTGAGCATAGCAGAGGGTGCACCGGTCAGCGTAGCAGTCAGGGCGGTAGACAGCGTCCAATCCCACAATGATGTTAGGGTGAGGCAGGCGATGAGAAGGTGATTTAATAGACTTTTTTTTACATTTGGCAGTACAAGATCAAACTGTGGCTTAATCCCGTAGATATGTAAACATCTGATATTTGATCTCACCCCTCGCATGACTCTAATGTAATGTTGAGTTAATGTTTTAAAACATTTTTCCATAGTCTGTATCCTCTATATCCCCATTACTGCTTTTAAAACCTTTAGCAGCCCCTTGCCTTGAAACGTCCCAAACACAATATATTAATGTTTTCAAAAGAAATATTTTGGTAAGATAAAGCTAAGTGTCAAGATTGTTTTTGTATCGACAGAATATTAACTATGATTTTGCTTTTTATTCATGCAATTTGTTCAAACTATTAACACAACCATCAACGCAAGCTAAGGATTTGGAAATGATATAACAATCTTAATATACATTTAATAGAATGTCTAGTCTCACAGATCCTTTTGTCATTCCCACATCAGGCAATTCCCAAGTATGTTCAGTACTGATCAGCCAAGAGGCAAAAGACGATTTCCCACCCCGGCTCCTTGCATCGTCAAACGGACGGACTTTCATATATATGTCCTTTCGGGACCCAGTCAGTTTACACCAAAGGGCTCAGAAGAGCTACCACTTGCCTATGCTGGCCTTGGAAAGAGGATGCTAAATCTACCGGACAACTTATTGCACAGTGAGGTAATCATATAAACAGTATTGAAGATTTCTCAAAGATTTAAAATGTGAATCACTTGCTGAATATTGTATGTTATTTCACTTTGTTTTAAAGACTATGGCTTCGGTTGAGGAAGAATTTCCCAAACTGAAAACATTAAAAGGAGGCTGGATGTTTTTCAAGTCAGCAGGTAATGTTCTCATCTCCATTGGTGAAAATGCTGTGTTGTGTTTTTCACACTCAGAAGCCCCACATATGTGTTTTCTGACGCCCTACTTTGAATTACCATTCATATCACTTCTTCAAGTTGTATAAAACAGTACTAAAGTTTGCCTGACAAAGTGTAACGTATATCCCTAATATTAATGTATGTACTGTCAGTTGGTTTTAAAGCACACTTGTGTTGTTCCTATTTTGATTTTAAAATAGGTGGTAGTGGACGTCGAAAGCTGTCCATAATCCCTACTGACTCCGAGGGGTACTCCACAAGGCTCCTCAAAACAGCGTCCAACAATGGAAAAAACATTGTGTTCGTAATTCCACTCCAGGAGCAACTTTCTACTGAACCACTACCCTATGACTCAGCAGAGTTTGCAAAGATGCCACAGTCAACCTGCATAACATGTGGTAGTCAAATGCCTTTGCAGCTGTTGCCTTTACATGTGGAGGAATGTAATGACATATTGACTGTAAGCTGTTATTAAAACATTTCTCTAATTTATCAAATAAAGATGTAATATTTTAGTTTGCTCAAATGACTGTTTCAAAGTCTATAGAACCAATTCTCTGTACCTTTTTTGTTTTTTAGGAGAGTGAATCTGGGACTTCTCTTGATGAAGTGATTGAGCAGCCAAATCCACCTAACACAGGGGATGGAAGAATCGTCAGAGGTAGTTGATGCTGTCTTCTCCTGTTAAAGTTACTTTGCAATTTAGTATAAAAGCCTTATTGTTTTCAGTAAATAATGACAGTATGATTGCAGGTGTGTGTATATAGGTAGGGTATAACACATTTCACCAAACTGACTTTTTGCACACTGTCTATGTACTCATTTTTGATCATATAATTATGTTTCCTGTATCACTTATCTGAGAGAGAATTATTAAACATAAAACCTTTCTTATAATAATGTGATATGTTTTAAAGGTATTGACATTTGTTTATGTTTTTTACAGGTTTGCCCTATATGTCTTGAGTCTTACCCGATTGATGTCCTCTCATTTCATGCAAGCACATGTGGTGAAGGGTAAGAAGTTTTGACTTGTTCAAGCAAAAGATGGAAGATAGACATGTTTTGAGTGAGGTGAACAACATATAAAAAGTGTCAAACCTAATAACGATATCCAGTGTTTCCCCTACCATTGTCTTGGAGGGGCGCTGCGCCCCGCCAACGGAGCACCGCGCCCCCCCTGAAATTCAAGGTGTTTAAATAAACTAAACGCTTTCATTTTAAGTAGTGAGTTTAGTGTTTTTGACCCTAAGAAACACTGATGCATTAATCAATAACAATAATCCACAGCTCCTCTCTCTGCTCCAGAGGATTTAAACAATATATATCCCAATGCCACCCCCTGCTCAGGCAGCACCCCCCCAAAGCAGTAAACCTAGGGGAAACACTGATATCGTTTGGTGAATGTGCTTGTTCCTTTTTTGTGTTTTTAAAATGCTGTAATGTTACAGCTATAGCAGCTGCATCAGAGCATGTGATGCATTTTTAAGAAATGTAGATGTAGAAATCATAACAGAGCCGAAATACTTATTAGGGATCTGATTTAAATTACTTTGTTTGATGGAGCCTATATGCAAGAAGAAATATGTAAAAAAAGAATAGGCACTCATCACTTGTCTCTATTTTCCATTCCTGTGAGTATGTTTTTTGTTTTGTCTTTTCCAAGAATGGACCCTGCTCATCATAGCAGTATGACAAGGACAGAGGAAATGCCAAGGACAGAGGAAATGCCAGGACCTTCAGTTCAAAGATTGCCAGCAACAGTTTCAGCAGGTTATTTATTCAGAACAATTACTGCTGTGGTGTAGTTTGAAACAGTGACTACTCACAAACACTTAAATAGCAATGATCACCAAAATGAATCTTGTTACATGTTTGATCCAGTAATATGGAAAGGATAATTGATTTCAAGTTACTACCTTTTAATATATTGCTTTAAAATACAGGGCTTACTAAATGAGACAATAAATGAAGTACTATTTTAAAATTGAAGCTGACATTGAAGCTGATATTATGAAGTTTATTGTACCAACCACTTTTTTTTTCTTCAAATTACGTTTTCAGCATGGGCCAATGAAGTGGACGCCCGGAAGGCATGTCAGTTGTTCAGAGAGGAACTGCTGGAACGTAACTATGAATGTCCACGCCTCTTTCTGTCAATCGACATGTTTGACGCAGAAGAAGTAACAGACAGTTAATTGATTTCATTCTTTAAAATGAACAATGTTAACTGGGCAGCTCCATTAAAGTGCAGGCTGAGAGGTATTAATAAATAGTGTAACTTCTCATGTTTCATTATAGGTAGTCATCTGGGTCGAATTTTGCCTTTTTGTTGCCTTTTTGTTTGTTTTTACTTGCATGTTGAGGATTAAGTTCATGTCCCTTAGACCAGGGAAGAAAGAACTAGTTACATTTATTGTATTGAAAGCTTGAAGGATGATTCATGTTGTCTCTTGGTAAGTGTATGTTGAATATCATCTTGTTGGTTGTACTTTTCTAAATGAGGTCGTCTTTTCAAGGGGATGCAGCAGTCGGCCAAGGTGTCAACCGACACGTTTTGTCAATGGCCATGCAGAAACTGAAGACCGGCTTCAGTATACATTTAGGTGGGGTATCCCCATTTGTCTTTCAATTGAAATAACCACTTGCAGCTAAATCTTAATAAACCAACAAAGATTACAACATGCATATTCACAGTTGAACCAACACTCAATATAGCTTGACCTAAAAATTACGTTATAGCAATACATGGCGTCTAAACTATTTCTCCTTTTTTATTAAGGCTGTGCAGCTCTGACAAGCCTTTTTGAAGGGGAAATGGAACATCGGGTTCCCTCCGCAGCTGCTGTGCTTCGGGAAAGCAACCTGTTTGAGATGGCAGGTCGGATGATAGGCCTTTCCTTCCTGCATGGTGGTTTTGGTTTCTCAGGACTAAGTGTGCCTGTAGTGACTCTGTTGACTGGTGGGAGCACGGATACTGCAGCATCAGCGCTTACCCTGCTGGACTGTCCTGATCTTGACCACCGTGAAACAATTGGTTTTGTGAGTGTCCTAGTTAAAAAGTGACATGTCATACACCACTGCACCACAATGCTACATACACTTGTCATCTTGTGCATTATGAAAAAGATTCCATTCATGTGTCAAGGCTGGGCTGTTTAGCTAGAAACGATTTCCAACGCTTTTTTGTGTCCCATTTTGATTTTTCCAGATTTAGGCTTTTTGTCCACTTTTGCAGACTGCCGTACACAATTTTGCATGCATTTAAATTATGTCCTCTTTTTTCCTGTTTTAGCTCAAGAATACACAACTTACTGCTCAAGAAACCACCAGTGTGACTGATCTTTGCCTGTCCTGGGACCTCCCTGTTCCAACCTCCACCAATCATGACTGGCTGTTCCAGGAACTTCTTTCCCATGCAGTAATCATTTTATATTGTACCATTTTTATTTAAACAATACAATGTTTAGGTAATTAGTAGGTTTGCTTTGTAAGTCCTCCTGTATCTGCTACTGTGGTGTTTTTCCATTAGTGCCTCATTTGATTGTTCCTTTTACTTGCAGGTACTTCACCGTGTTAGGCAGCCTATCAAACAGATTCGCAAAGGCCTTAAAGAAACGGGAATCTGGCCGCTTGTTTCAAATAGGCCAGATGTCCACCCCATATTATTTCCAAGAGAGAAAAATGATGAGCTGAACTCACAGGTAAGTACCATTTTCTTTATTGGATTTATGTTATTCAAGGGATTTGTTTGCAAACACTATCATGCAATTTCATTTGTTGGGGGCTCTTAAACTGGTGTGTAGATCTTAAATCAATGCTTTACAATTTTAAGATAATTCTGTAGCAAATAACATGAGCTTCAATCTTAGCAAAGAACACGTTTGTATTTGATCCCCTATAGACTGTGATCCAGAACATCCACTGGCCACAGCCCAAAAGTGACAGCGATGAAGACGAGGACGACGCCGTTCCATTGGAGAAAGTCAGTCTCGTCACTGGATTTTTGAGGCAATTCATAGAGGAAGGTAACACTTTTTATTACATCTCTATTTTAAACTAGTTACTTAAGTGTAATGACTGCTAAAGCTGTAGTGCAGCTGAAGAGATGGCAGTTCTGATTAATAATAATATGCACACACATCGGTGTACAAATACAAATCTATGCATGAGTTAACCGTTGATATTCCTGCAAGTTTTACTGCTCAAATTTAAAGTTTTGATATAATGCAATTTGAGGTATCGCATACATAACAAATTCTCTCCCATAGCATCTCCGAAGGTGCTGCGTGACCTCTTGAAGTTCTGGGTCGGGTGGGAGCTGCTCACAACAAACCTTGAAGTTGAGGTTGTTACTTCAAAATACCCAGTGGCTCTCACCTGCTTCCTAAAATTGAAGCTCCCAAGCCACTACCAAACCTATGAAAAGTTCCACCAGGACTTGATGATGGCCCTCAGTTCCATCAGTTCAGGCTTTGGGCTTGTGTAGCTACACACTGACTCAGTTTGTTTTGTATTTTTCTGGAGAAGGGTTTGCCTCTCTATTCAATACACTGTGTGAGATACAGGGTTACAGTTGGTACACCTACCGTCTTTTATAAATAAAGGACATTTGGAAAAAGACTGTTTGTCCATTATCATTGTTACACTTTAACAATGCCCAATCCCTTGAACAGTATACTCCGAATAGTTCTTTTACAAAGTTTTTATTTTTTACCGAGTGTAAAATGAATGTAATTCTGTTGCTCTGAAACGGTTTTTGATCCTGACTGAAAATGCATCTCTAAAAACACTTCCATTCATTTCTCTTCCAATTATAAGTCAAAAGAAAAATGTCAAATCATGCAATTGAGATTAACTTAATCAAGCATAAGCTATGTAAATATAAAATGATTAACTTTCCATCATTGCCAAATAACTGAAATCATGACACAAATCATACGATAGTTGTTAAATGTGTAACAACTATCGGTGCTCAATTAAGTTCTCAATGTATTGGACAGTATTGAGATATATGTCCACTCCGAAACATTCAGATTCTTCCAATGGATCAATGTTGTCTTGCAGTTGCATCATTTCAAGTTCTGAGAGAGGGAAGTTCAGCGTAGGGACATTGACCCCGGTATGATGCTCATTTGTGTATCCACTCTCTTCCCATTGAATCTCTGGTATGAGTAAACCCTAAAAAAGACAAAGTGCGTGTACAAATATTAAAGCAAGCACTGTGCCATTACTGCTTCTTATTACAAAATATGTGATCAGGTGAAATAAAGAGGGTATGCAATTGTTCTATAATAATAAAAAATGGAGTGATTGTGGAATAATGTTAAGGTAATAGTGTAATATTATAGAAAAGTGTTCTTGCTTGCACCCAGCAGAGGCTTTTTTAATCCAAGAAGGGAAGTTAGATTATGAATCAGATAACTTATTATACTGTTTGGGTTTTTATTGATTGATAATAAACAAGAGATAGTGATGGTTTTGAAAATTCACAATTTACCTCAGGCTCAGGATCTGCAACAGGATTCAGGTGCTGGCCCACCTGCCACAATTGATTGGGTGTCAGATTTTGCTCTGTCCTGATGGGATGGTTGGCCCAGGCCTCACTGAACACATCCAGGTTGGCTTGGATGCGTGGCAAGAAAACGTAGTGGCAGCAGAAGATGTGCAGGACGTTACTGATGTCAAGCAGGTGTTGTTCCTCAAGAGAGTGCAGGGTGTTGTAAAAGACACCCGTAACACTCATGAACACATCACGCCAGAGGCGTTCAATTCTGTGTTAGAAGAAAACACAATTTTTTTTTAAACTTAAAAGAAAATCAAAACTGTTCACTATGAACAATTTAAAGTTTCCCAGTCCTAGTCATTGAATCAATGGCAATGTCTCTAACTGAAAATTGCATTTATTTAAAAAAGAAATCAACTGACTTGACAGGAGAGTAAAACATAGCAGTGAGACTGTTAAACAATTGAACTGCTGAAACAATTTCATAACATTCATCTGCTACTTAGTAATATATATCTACTATCTAATATATATCATTCCTATAACTTGTATATAGACTCGTACTGCACTATTCCACTTTTTTTCTCTCTCACTTTATTTTAGAACTATTTTTCTTTTTGTATTACTTTTACTATCTGTATTATTATGTTGCATTGTTGGAGAAGCCTGTGACCTACTGTAAGATTTTCAACTACATAATTACTCTGTAGCTATGTTAGTTTGACAATAAAGAACCTTGAACCTTGAACATAGTGAGTTTTCAAATGTTTCAAATGTTTGCTTGGCTGGTACATTTCTGTGAAAATTGTCATTTTCTTCTTTGTGAAGGAATGGTCTCAACATGTGCTTATGAAGGTTTGTTAAAGGGAATATTAAGAAGAAGAAATATGCTCATAAGCTTACAAAATTAGGTTTAACTCACCGTTGATTGTGTACGCTTTTCCCTGCAATGAAGCTGTTACTGTCAGTTCCACGAACTGAGAACATTAATTGTGCTACTCCCACATTTTCTCCACCATGATCTCCTCTCACTCTGGAAAATAAATCAAATAATTATGCATAGTTAAAATATACGTATTTGAAGGTCCAAAAAACAAGGGGTACAATTCCATAATGATCTACATCCATAATGTGATCACAAATGGCTCTCTCTGGACATAAATATTTGAGATATCTGGACAGGTCCTTAACTGTAACCCTTAAGAGTTCTCTTTCACTTTATTAAACCTCGAGTTATCTTCCACACCTGAATGAGGGATGGTTCACATCAGCTTGTGAATAGATTATATTTTCATATTTCTGTACATTACATGAATCTCAGCTGAGGGATGGGAAAATCTGACATGTAGCTTATATATTGTCATATGTGAGGGGCTCACATAGAATTAACAATTTATATGGCTGTGTCCGACAGCACTTTTGTGGCCTGGAAAGGTACAGTTTATAATGGCAATTGTTTTAATTTATATGTTCAGATTGCCTCTTTGAACTAACAGTAAAGCACGACAATATTTGCAATGAATGAGTCCCATCAAAAATAAAGTGGTCGTCACTGATGCAGCCATTGGAGGGGAGCATCTAAATTTGATGGAAAGGTCCGCAATTACACTAATAATTACATATGAAATAATGTGAATACCTCAGAGGAAACCCGTGCTCGTTCACAGCTTCATTGAAGAAACACAAGTGGGTGTCAGCCCGGTTGTTGTCTGCTATCTTCAAGTACATAATCTACACATACAAGTACACATAAAACAACATATTAGTACCTTGATGAATCAGTTTAACTTGAAGCATCTGTCAAATGACAATGTGCAACATTAATTCAATTCAATGTATAACAGAATATCATGATAGCTCAGGCAAGCTTCTTGACATATATTGTGCAGTTCTTCAAAGTATTTATTTTGAAATTAAGTAAACAAGTAAATGCATATTGTTTGATCTGAATCACTTAAAATATAAGGTGACTTTAGAAGTCCAAATCGTCTGTTTGGTAAGAGGTGATATGTAATTAACTATAGATTAGATTGTGTACCTAAAGATCACCACCTGTTGGTACAGAAAATAAACTGAAGCTTAGAAAAGTAAAACCACATGATGTTCGGCAACATTTTGCAGTTGTTGGTTCTTGACAATAGAATAGTCTTACCTTCCTTGAATAGCCATCTATTCCCCCAAAGATAACAAAGTTGTACCTGTTTTAAAAAAAAAGGAAAAGATAAGAATTAACCCCTAAACACAAAATCTGTTGATGTTTTGTGAAGTCAATGATAGACAATGATATGATTACATTCACAAGATATATACAACTAGACATTAAAAATAATAAAATGAACAGATTACATACAGACAGCATGCAGACAAACCTGATGAGCTTGTGGTTGGTGTCAATGTGCACCATGTACTTAGGGTAAGGAACTGTGTATGTTCTCCTCACCACACATCCCATCCGAGTCATCCTGGCGAGCACACCAACACTGTCCACACGATGCATGGATGCATACACCCGTTCCCATTGCACTCTGTGTCCCTTCGCAAGTAGAGCACCTCGGACTACACTGTAGCCAGCATCTGGCATTGCACTTTTTATTGTGGTGATCAATGAATCCAATTCGTCATCAGTGCAGCCACTATATGAAGCAGATATAGAAATGTCATTTTCGGTCATCCGCCTAAATAGCGTTGCTCTAGACACACCCAGGAGTCTGGCGATGCAACTCGATGGCAGTCCCAGTTCAACCAGATGTGTCAGAGCCTCAACTGACACATTCAATCGTGGACGCCCACGTCCACAACATTTTTGCAACTCAAGGGTCACAAATGTCTGTTGATTATCTCTCTCTTGCTGGATAAGGCTATTCAGGTCTGCAAGTGCAGACTGTATATTATTCCCTAAATCAACAATGTCACCCAGTGCACTCAAGATAACAAAAGCCTGACGGCACGCAAACTGTAGCCCTTCGAGATCAACAGGTGTCCTATCAAAGATGTATGTCAGTCGATCTTGAAGTCTCTGAAGGATTTCACGCTTTACTGATTCCTGGGGGGAAAAGAATAGAAAAGATAGATAAAATATGACCAACAGTGCTCAACGTTCGACCGTTTGTTTACCAACACCGGTTAATCCTATTTAACGTCAGCTCTTAATGTTCAATTCCACCCCATCATTAAACACAATGGAATATATTTTTGAATAATAATTTGAGCAGGAAACTTTGGATTCATTCTGTCTAAGCTGTCCCTAAAAAAGAAAGCAAGAAAATGAAAGAAGTTAAAGAAATGTTTGGCTAATGTTAGCTATGTAAGGTTATAATCCTAGGTAGTCTATTAGCATTATATAGCTAACTTGCCAGCAAACGCTAGCATTACATGCCACCCATATTACTTCCATGCTAACACATCACTAACATAACAAGAATTCATACCTAAAACATATTTAATCATTCACGCCGAGACACGTATCACTTACACTTGTGCTAGACGCCATGTTGAAGTTGACCTGTTAGCTCCATCAGCTCCGGAGTCCGGACAGAGCAAAATGCGTAAATGAAGTGCTACGTCATCAACGCAAGAAATCCTACCCTCGTGGGGGCGCGCTCATGTGATTGGCTTAGACTGCAGGAGACATCTGATTGGCTATAGATGAAAGAAATTACAAGTACGAATCGGGTGACCGTCAGGGGAGTCTCAAAAATCCCACACACGCATGCACAGCGATCCATGCACAGAAAACGGTTTGTGTTTGCAGGTTCAGGGGATTTAAACGGTAAACAAATATGTGAGGATCAAAAATACATATGTAAAACTTTTTTCTGTGTTTGGATTTTATTTACATGAATATGAAACGGAACACATGTGTGTGTGCATTGAAAAACACAAGTGTGGATCCGAAAATACAAGTGTGAATCCTTCTGTGTGCATGTGTGTATTATGAGACTGTTCTGAGCCCATATGTGTGAGAGCGTTTCATGTCTGTGTGTGAGAGCGTTTCATGTCTGTGTGTGTGAGAGCGTTTCATGTGTGTGTGAGAGCGTTTCACGTGTGTGTGTGTGAGAGCGTTTCATGTGTGTGTGAGAGCGTTTCATGTCTGTGTGTGTGAGAGCGTTTCATGTGTGTGTGAGAGCGTTTCACATGTGTGTGTGTGAGAGCGTTTCATGTGTGTGTGTGAGAGCATTTCATGTGTGTGTGTGAGAGCGTTTCATGTCTCTGTGTGTGAGAGCGTTTCATGTGTGTGTGAGAGCGTTTCATGTGTGTGTGTGAGAGCATTTCATGTGTGTGTGTGAGAGTGTTTCATGTGTGTGAGAGCATTTCATGTCTGTGTGTGTGAGAGCGTTTCATGTGTGTGTATGAGAGCGTTTCATGTCTCTGTGTGTGAGAGCGTTTCATGTGTGTGTGAGAGCGTTTCATGTCTGTGTGTGTGAGAGCGTTTCATGTGTGTGTGAGAGCATTTCACGTGTGTGTGAGAGCGTTTCATGTCTGTGTGTGAGAGCGTTTCACGTGTGTGTGAGAGCGTTTCATGTGTGTGTGAGAGCGTTTCATGTGTGTGAGAGCGTTTCATGTGTGTGTGTGAGAGCGTTTCATGTGTGTGTGAGAGCGTTTCACGTGGGTGTGAGAGCGTTTCATGTCTGTGTGTGAGAGCGTTTCACGTGTGTGTGAGAGCGTTTCATGTGTGTGTGTGAGAGCGTTTCATGTGTGTGAGAGCGTTTCATGTGTGTGTGTGAGAGCGTTTCATGTGTGTGTGAGAGCGTTTCATGTCTGTGTGTGAGAGCGTTTCATGTCTGTGTGTGAGAGCGTTTCATGTGTGTGTGTGAGAGCGTTTCATGTGTGTGTGTGAGAGCGTTTCATGTGTGTGTGTGAGAGCGTTTCATGTGTGTGTGTGAGAGCGTTTCATGTATGTGTGTGAGAGTGTTTCATGTGTGTGTGAGAGTGTTTCATGTCTGTGTGTGAGAACGTTTCATGTGTGTGTGTGAGAGCGTTTCATGTCTGTGTGTGTGAGAGCGTTTCATGTGTGTGTGTGAGAGCGTTTCATGTCTGTGTGTGTGAGAG